AAAAAAAAAAAAGAATGTAGATCTATTTGTGTTTATGTAAAAGAAAATTTAAAAAGTCAAGGTAAGGGTTAGGAATTAAGATAGCTGGGTGCGGTGGTGCATGCCTAAAATCCCAGCAGCTCAGGCAGCTCAGGCAGGAGGATCGTGAGTTCAAAGCCAGCCTCAGCAATGGCGAGGCGCTAAGCAACTCAGTGAGACCCTGTCTCTAAATAACATACAAAATAGGGCTGGGGATTGGCGCAGTGGGGATTGGCTTAGTGGTCGAGGGTCCCTGAGTTTGTACCAGAAAAAAAATTAAGATAACATTCAGAGGATAGAGATGATCCTTTTCTTCCTCTTAAGTGTAGGAAGAAAGCTGTAAAATGTTACAAGAACCAACTTGTGCAAATCCTCTTTTTTTTTTCTTTTCTTTTGGTAGCATTGGGGATGGAACCCAGGGCTCCATACATGCAAGGCACAGACTCTATCTTTGAACTCCACGCAACGCTTAGTTTCTGAAAACCTTTTCTTTAGGGGAGTGCTGGGGATAAAACCCAGGGGTGCTTCACTGATGAGCTGTACCCACCCCCATCCTTTTTAATTTTTTTGTTGTTGTTGTTTTGAGACAGGGTCTCACTAAGTTGTTTAGAGCCTTGCTAAATTGCCAAGGCTGGTCTGGAACTTACCGTCCTCTTGCCCCAGCCTCTTGAGTTGCTGGGATTACAGGCATGCACCACGACACCAGCCTGTGAAAATCCTTAATAGCACATAGACGTGAAGTTACATGCAAGTCATTTACTAGAAAGAACTATCAGAAACAGCTAGACGAGGCCAGGTGTGGTGGCACACCTGTAATCCCAGCCATTTGGGAGACTGAAGCAAGAGGATCTCAAATTCAAGGCCAACCTGAGAAACTTAGTGAGGTCCTCAGCAATTTAGCAAGACCCTGTCTTTGTGGTGCTGGAGACTGAACCCAGGGCCTTGTGCCTGCGAGACAAGCATCTACCATCTGAGCTGTATCCCCAGCCCAGGACCCAGTCTTGATTGATTGATTGTTACTGGGAATTGAACCCAGAAGCACTTAACCACTGAGCCTCATCCCCAGCCCTTTCTATTTGTTTCATTTTGAGACAGGGCCTCACTAAGTTGCTGAGGTTGGCCTTGAACTTGAGATCCTCCTGTCTCAGCCTCCCAAGTCCCTGTAATTACAGGTGTGCAGCCCTGTGCCCGACTTGACCCACAGTTGTTTTTATTTTTGCCTTTAACTTCTTTATTATGAAATATGACAAATATACAGAAAAGTGAAACTCCATAAATCATTTTAAAATAAGCCTTCCATATAACCACCACCCCAGGTCAAATATGAAATGTTTCCAACACTCAGAAGACTCTTCCATGCCTCTTCCCATTATAAGTCCCTACGACAACCCACCTCCACAGGTCACTGCTGCCTGTTTTATGGTATTTGTTTCCACACTTTCATGGTTTTAGCTTATCAGACATCAT